TTTTTTTCTTTTTGAGTTTGATATCATATCGCAAGCGAGCGAGTCTGCGAGCGAGTGAATGAAATCAGTCTCTTAACATGTAACACTTTGTTTATTACACATTTAGGGTCGATAAAACGACAAATTTTGCAATTTCCGGTTCACCTTGAAATGGTATCGTATCACTTCACTGATATGGTTTTTTTTCACGGCTTTATCCCACTGATATCCAGGGGGGGTGGCAAAGGGAAGCTGAAGCCCCCCTTCAGCAAAAAAAGACAAAAGACAAAACTGAAGAATTAGATGCTTTTCTTTAATCTTTTCCGTTGTGTTGACAGAAGAAGCTCAATTAGCCCCCCCCCCCCTGGAAACGCCCTTGATATCGACCCTTAAAGTGTAGTAAGAAGACATACCGAAAACTAAATTTAGTTACAATACCATACTGACTTCCAGTACTGAATATTTATTTACTTCTTCCTCATCATTTTCTTTACACCTCTTTATGATTCTTAGTTCCTCTTCTCTCTCTTTTTCCTGTAACCACATATTTTATTTCTTTGTTGTTGACTTATTTAAAATTCTCTCCCTTTCATTTACCTTCGCTGTCTTCCAATTCTTGTTTTTTCTCACTGCTACTCCCTTTAGTCAGTATTCGTTACTTTTATGGTTCTCTCCCTCTCATCCCTCTTTCGTTTTCTTTCTTCTAATTTTTTTAATTTTCTACTTTCTACTCTCTTCTCTTCAGTTCAACTGCCCCCCCCCCCCCATTCCTTTTCACACCCCTAACCCTTTGCTTTTCTCCTTCTTTTCCTACTTAACATTATTATATCAAACAAATCTATATTATCTTCGTTACCCTAGACCTACTCCAACGCAATCACTTTCTAGTGGATCCCAGTCCCCTCACGAGGAAGAAGTGTCATTCTTTTTTGAAAGACTGGAAGCGAATGATGTTGGCATTGTCATCTCCGTGTCACCAAATCAAGATCTTCCAGAAGACCTTCTAAAACTAAAAGAACAGCTTGGTGTACCGAATGGTCTGCCGCCCTGTGTAGAGAATGCTAGGCTGGACTTTGGTATGTACAGAGATACACTTATTTCAATAAAGTTAGTCACCTGAAAAGCTATAAAGCTGAGGCCGACAAGGATTATGGGTAGATTCATTTTACRCGTTTGACCGCTTGATAACTGTTCATGGACTTGCGAATCTTTTACCGGTTACAGTCTCACCTCTTCTGAGCATCATCGAGCTGGAGTTTGTATTAAAAAAGATTTGTATGTACATGCTTTTTTTGACATGAAAAGTTTCCCATGATGCTCAGTGATCTCAGCTTTCTAGGTTTTTGGTGACTAACTTTATTGAAATAAGTGTATTCTATACTAACTTTTACTAAAGCTTCACCTTTCTCTCCCAGTAGACTGCGTGCCAGTCTCTAAAAGATTTTCTTCATATTTTTTCTTTGAGCAAGGTAGAGTTAGGGCCGAGCCATTGAATCCCGAAGGGTAAGGGGTCGAGAGACGATAGAAAAACTGAGATATTTCGTTTTCAATTAGAGTGCATACCATATTTCTGCGAAAAAAGTTAACTAACAAAATTTACAATTTAGTGCAAAGTTCTGTAGGTCTACGGTCTACTGAGGTCTACTGAACTTACTAATTTGTGCAATTTCTTATAAAGTTTTTTCCGGCTAATAGAATGTACTCCAACATTTTTCGTTTTTTTTCCTGTCATTTTCAGAGCGATTTCTACGTACTGGGATTTACTACAGATCATTTGATGGACTGGTTCGGGATATCAAGAGACACTATTTGAAGGTGAGCATGCCATCGACGTGTACCCTAAAAACCTCAGCGGTAGCTTTCTGTTTAATAAAGACCTTAAGCATCAGACTTACCGCTAACTGCTAGGACTCAGCCCCAGAAACACGCCCACAACACCGCGAAACACTCAGTATCAATGAAATTTTATATGGCGTCTTTTCCATCAACAACTTCGTTATGACGCCTCGCTAAAATGTTGAAAGTTTAACGGGAAACGCCTGACGTTTAAGGTTTGCCGTACCTAGCAAGAACGTCGTGCTAAAGGTCTCTAATGTAAATGTTTATACTCAACAGGAGATCGGACGTCAGTCTGCAAAAATACTTGGGTCATTACATCTTCTGGGAAACGTGACGGGTCTTAAAGATAATATCGCTGAAGGGCTGACTGAACTAAAAGAAAGTGGTGACTACATGGGATTCGCTAGGCACGTGAGAAGTGGTTTGACTGACTCGTACTACAAGGTACAGTTGCTTGATGAATAAGCTTACTTAATAATACCACGTGATGCTCACGTGATATCAGAGAAGGGTACAAACAAATACCACGTGATGTTTGCGTAATTTTAGAGAAGGATATAAACGAATACCACGTGATAATCACGTGGTATAAGAGAAATGCACATACAAATACCACGTGATATTCGCTTGATATCAGAAATGTACAACCAAATAAACAAATACCATGCGATATATATCATAGTGACATGTACGACATTTAGTTATAAATAGACTACGGTTACAGAAAGTAGTCACAGCAAACAATTACAATGTACACGTCACTTTAGGCAAAACTTTGTATCTATCACGTGTTAATCACGCACACTTGACCTTACCCCAATACTATCGATCTAACAACTGACAATATACTTCTTTTCGATATCAATATCGAGTTTAAAGCGATCCATATAATTCACCTGAGGACATCTTTCTCTCAATTCTAGTCTGTTGTTATTCCATCTCATGTCTTAGCGTGCACGTCATCTTTATGTGGGCACATCTAAATAAGTTGACGAGAAAGATTATGTTGTACAATCCTTGTGTTTGCAGCTTTCAATAAGGATTAGCAGCTCATAGCAGTAGATGACAGGAAATATTTTACCCTGTCGTACACCCTTAGATATGGCATCCGATAGTAGGATTTTTTATCAAATGGACTTTTTAAAAAAAATGAAACTGAGATGCTAAAACAAGGGTATGTTCTTGTTCAAACAGCTCACTGATTCATGGTCTGCGTATGTGAGACCATCACCAAGGAAAAGCCTGCCCGAACCTGTTGTAGAGAAGCCTATAGAACAGCAAACACAAGAAGACAATGTTGACGCTGGTCTGTTTTATGGTATTACTAGTGGTCTGGGAGGATGGATATTTTGTCCATTAGAGGAAACGATTGACCTATTACAGGTAGGACAAGCCAACCATGACAACCGAATGACAACTAGCCGACTACTTTCTCTTGAAAATTAGCGGGGAGAAACTGTAACGATTACTGAGAAGTTATGTGGCTCAAAGCCGCTATATTATGCTATATCCAATTATTTGTACTTTCTAAAAATGTAAACGTGTTTGTCTTTTATAATATCAAATATGTGGCTTGTGCGTTTTTCCTCTCCACTTTGTCGTTGTTGTTTTCTTTTTTTTATTATCTTTCTACTTTTATTCTTTTTTTTCTTTTTTTCTCAAAAAAAAGGAAATTATTTCTTTAAAAGAAGGAAATTATTTCTTAAAAAAAAAGAAAGAAAAAAAGGAAAATATGTCTTAAAATGCTTAGTTTAGACGAGTGTATAGTTGTGTCCGCCCAGTACATAGTTGGTATAATCTTGACAACTTCTCATATGCAAGAGGCCATGTGTTTTTTTTCATGCTTTTTCTTCACCATCTCACTCATCCAAAAATACTCCACACAAAAAAATGTATCTGATTTAAAAACAATTCTTCAGTTGGAGCAGTTAAAATAACTTTTCGTAGTTGAATAGCATTTTAGTGTTTTAGCCACAGGTGGTGCACAGGTGCCAGCCTGTTTTTGTTTATTGGCGAGCGCTCTCACCGCTACGACAACCGTGCTTCCCGAAGCTTCTCGTAAAACTAATGATACGTCAAAATAATACCACTGCCAATAATCTGGTGTGTTGTTAATGATAGTGAAAGTATTGCGTTTGGTTTAAATTTTATTTTCTGTTGATCAGGAGGAAGTACCCTCAACTGAATCTGTTGCTGCGGAAATCCAGTCACCCTTATCAAGTAGTACACCTGAGCGTGACGCACGCAGTACACAAATGCGTGACGTACCACGTGACGCCGACTCTACTATTAGTACATCCCAGCGTGACGAACGTACTGACAGACACGTATCCTTTACAACCCAGCAGAATGACGCTCAGTCTAAGCGTGACCTATCGGATGACGTTGACTATATAAGTCAGCGTGACGAACAAACAGTCACGCAACCTTTAATTAGTCCACAGCATAACGCACAAAGTGACGTAAATCAATTAAACGATACATCACAACATGACGTAACGAATTACGTAGACGTGCACGATGTTGCTCGTGATTTCAGTAGCGTAGTTGAAGATGACACCCAATCTACATGGGCTAGCATGTCTAGCTTTTCAACTCCAACAGGGTGGGAGTTGATGCCTCGGGAGATACAGAAAAGGCTAAAAGGACAAGAATTTTTGAGAAGACTTAAACGAGGTATTAACAACGATGAAGATGTAGACGAGAAGTAAGTAATACATTTTTTAACCATTACTGCTATTTTCATAAAAATGCGAACTTGGTACCTGCAAGCTGCACGCTGATTTTTTTTTTTTTTTTTGCTGCCGTCAATCAAAACTAATCAGTCGGTACTTTTCATATAATTGACTGGCGGCAGCAAATAATAATAATAATAATAATAATAATAAATAAATAAGTTAACGTGCAGCTCGCAGCTACCATGTTCGCATTTATTTACCTTGAAAACTCACAAGTTGACCTCTATATTTGATGTAATGCTAACATGAAAATACAAGAGAGACTATTATTCTCAATGGAATTTGTATCTTTTTCTCGTTTTCCCATTCAAGATAATTTTGAAAGAGGTGTCTTCTGTGACTAAAAAATGCAACCAAGGTTGAGATGATGCCAGTTTTTTCGTTGTAGTTTTGTTTACCAGAAAAAAATGGCTTGCTGGTCTGTCTTTACGCGCTTTAATTCTCTTGACTTTGCCAGCGCTCAACATGTTTTTAATTGGACTCCTAGCTCAGGTTTGAAGTGAGAAGATGAGCCAACTTTTTAATGTATTTTTCCCTTSAGATTTCTCTGCTGCTTGAAGCTACGCTATATGGATCCAAGTGACAAGTTAAATGCATTACTCACAACTTGTAAAGTGTATTTCATGAAAGTAGGATCACCATCACGTGACAATGTCATCCTTGAGGTGAATCTTAATAGACTGTACAAGACGCAGGAAAAGAATCATGGTAAGGTTAATGATATCAACTTTTCATAGTGTATTGCTATAAGGTTTAGGTAGTAGGGTGGTGAGTTTGTGTGCTTGAGTGTTATACATTAGATGCGGAGTAATATGGTGTGATATCGTGTGCAATAGTAGGATGGGGATAAAGTGTTGGGTTCTATTAGGTAATGAAATAGTAGTTGGTGCCGTAGATTTGGTGTGCATTGAGGTAGGGAGAGGTGTTGGTAACATGTTAGCAGCAATAGATAAAAGTGTAGTGTACTGCAGGGCGGGTAAAGTAATGTAATGTAAGGTAGAGAGAATAAGAGAAAAATATCAAATACCCTTGGCGGGAATCGAACCCACAAGAACCAGTTGTAGTGTGGTGTGGTGCGGTGCGGTGCGGTGCGGTGCAGTGCGGTGCGGTGCGGTGCGGTGCGGTGGGGTGTAGTGTGGTGTGGTGTGGTGTGGATGCTGTGTAGTGTGGTGTGGAATCGGTGCGGTGTAGTTGTGGTGTGGTGTGGTGTGGTGCGGTGTGGTGTGGTGTGGTGTGGATGGGGTGTGGTGTGGTGTGGATGCGGTGCGGTGTAGTTGTGGTGTGGTGTGGTGTAGTTGTAGTGTGGTATAGTTGCAGTGTAGTGTGATGTAGTATATTATAGTGTAGTGTAGTGTGGGATGTGGTGGAGGTGGCGTGATGCGGTGTGGTGTAGTTGTAGCGTGGTGTAGTATAGTGTAGTGTAGTGTTAGACGTGTATGGGTGATTAGGAAATGTGTTATGGATAGGGGATAGATGCCGGTATATCCTTTTTCCCCTTTGTTGTAATGTGATTTGTTTGGTTTTTCGCAGATGGCATGGACTACCTTGAACTAATAATGCGAATTAATGGCATGCAGCGACTGTGCCTCCCCTCCCCTAATGCTAAAGACAATCCTTTGGTTCGATGTGATTCTCTTCACTTAGCAGCCAAGGTAATAACGTTTTGTTGTTGTTTTTATTCATAAGCTCTATGTTTCTGTTCTACAACGTCACAAACATGGTCCAATTAGATTGGACGTCTCATACGTAATAAGGTGAACGTGTCTTTTGATGAAGTCGTCTATGTGTCTGTTCTAAAACGTCACAAAGATGGTGCAATCAAATCAGACGTCTCTTACGAAACGAGTTTAACTTGTCTGTTGATGACGTCATCCATGCGTCTGTTCTATAACAACCAATGGATCTGTCCAAATTAGACCAGTCGTCCCACACACAACAAGTTGAACGTTTCTTCTGATCAATTCATCCATGCGTCTCTTCTATTCGTGGCGTGCATCTTTTCCCATGAGAACCATGGACAAAAGACGTGACCGCCATGTTGGTTGACATGACAAAAGACACCAAGACCAACTTTTTTGTCAAAGTCAACCAACATGGCGGCTATGACGTCACATGTACAAGGACAAAAGACGTTGCCGCCATTTTGGTTGACATGACAAAAGACACCAAGACCAGGCTTGTTTGCTAATGACATCATCCATGTGCTTGTTCAATAACAGGCAAATGGGTGGCCCAATAGGTTAAACTTATCAGTGACCATGCATAACACCAGGACAATCTATCGTGCACGTTTTAATCAAAAGACTGTTCTTTTTCCTAGGCTGCCAATAAAATAAACAAAGCAAGGAAGAGATACAGTAGTAACGACAGTTGTCCCTGTAAGGTTATACTAAACACTGTACTATGACCATGACAATCCATCCCCCGGAACCGCCGGGAATGTATTCGTCCTTGTCTTGCCCAGTCCTTTCGACCAAAATCGTGGCCGTAGGAGAATGAGATCCTTTCACGTGATATCAAGAGGACCCCCAGTAAAAAGCGCGCCTTCTTTACTGCGGGTTTCGATATCTGCGAACTCAAAACGTTTCGACTGCCTGTAGTGAAATTGCTTTTTACTGCCGCCAGTCAAGAATATAAAATATAAAAGGTACCTGCTGTTTATCTTTGATTGACGGTAGCGAAAAAAAAAACATATTTCAGCGCGCAGCTCATAACTACCGAGGCCGCAGAATATCGAAAACCACAGTAATCTATAACTTACATTATCAAACTCATGAATAATTCATGAGGAAAACACAATAGAAATCATTGTCTGTGGAGGAGGTTGTATATCTGATACAAAATCGTCCTGATTTGCATAAACTTTAACTCCAATTTTCTTAGACAAATTCTATTTTATCTTAAAATTATAGTAGAACATGAATGTATACACCTAGACGTCTCATAAGTAATATATACAATATTCGTGTCCGTGTCGTATCAGATATACAGTCAYTCGCCTTCGGCTCGTGGTTGTATATCTGATACAACACGGCCACTCATATTGCATATATTACTTATTACTAAATTATCGCTTAATAAGGTTTTAAAAATTTATCTTTTAAAAAAAACGACACGAATGAATTGAACGACTTGTTTCACACCAATCAAACAAGCAGAGCTTTAGTTTTCGTAGTATAGACAACCCATTAACATCCATCGAGGGTATCGAATATCGATCCTAACAATCTTAAAAAATAAAATAAAATAATTACAGTCACGTGAATGTGTAACAACGAAGGTTATTCCTACAAAATTAACTATACTATATCAAATACTATAAAATCATAATTAAAAGTTTCATAAAGAAAGAAGATACGCTTATAGTTTGTTACACAATTGGTTGCGTCAAAGCGTCAACTTATCATTCACTACTCTTAAAAATACCAAATTTTCTTGAGTGTGCGGGCTTAGCCTCGAAACCAGGAGCTGCTTGTTTTGTTATTCTAATTTCTGCTCTTTTTTCTATTTCAAAACGGATTAACAAGTAATAATAACTTCTTTTTTTAATAATTTATATTTAGCGCGTAAATAGTTGCCATGCCAGTCATGTTCGGTCATCGTTGCGAGGCGAGTTGCAGGAAACGTTGCCTAATATAACGTTCCACTGTTCTTGTTTCATTGCGCAACAAAATTGCTATGAAGTTTCAAGAAAAATTGCTAAGTGCGCGTAAATAGTTGCCATACCAGTCTTGTTCGGTCATCGTTGCGAGGCGAGTTGCAGGAAATGTTGTCTAATATAAAGTTTCACTGTTCTTATTTCATTGCGCAACGAAATTACTAGAAAGTTTCAAGAAAAATTGCTAAGTGTAACACTGAGTACTTTATTCTGTTGACTACGAGCATCAATGCACATCTTTACTCGAAACTAAAACTCTTGTGTCGCAACTCAGTTGCTAATTTTTTATTCTCATAACAATGCAATCAGTAGAATAAATCTGTCTACTGGGCCTGCGCACTATACAGCAATTTAAAATGGGTTGGTGAAGCTTATGTTCCATACCAATCCCGAAATGCACTATGAACGATTTATGAGAGATGAGGCGATAAGCCGTGTGGGATGGGCTCGGAAATCATATAAGAACATGCGTAATAGGTAAGTTATGTATGAAACGACTGAAGAAGAGGGCCAATGGGCCTTTCACAACTTTAAGTCGCGTAGAAAATGAGCCAGCGCAACTAGAAACCGTGGATAGCTGTTTCGGCCTGTATTGGGCCTCGTCAGCATGGTGCATGTATCTAGTGAGCTTGGCCGTCTTCTTCAGTCGTTTCATACAAGGCTCGTAATTTACCTATTACGCATGTTCTTATATGAACGATTTAATCAAATGAGCGATAGGTCACAGCAATATGGAATTTTTCCAAACTTTGTTTGCACATTTTCCCGGTATAATTTTATTTACATATGAATATAATGCACTTCATGCTTAATATGCAAGATGCAACAAAACTTTCACCAACCTTTTATGAAATAGCTTTATATGAGGCCACGAAACCTCAAACAGTTGTTAGATATTTTCTATCAAAAACATGCATAAACGCTTTTATATCCTCTTTGAAAATATGAAATTATTTGCTAATGATAAGTCATTTTTAGAACTCGATTTGGTGGGCCCGCCAAGTTTGGATGCACATGCACCTAGGAAAGCTTCCTTACAGTGGTGTACACCTATTTCAAAAAAGTCGGTCTAAGATCTGAAATGGGCTCTGAGACGAAACAGAATTTTTGTCCTTTACTGCACAGTAATGTTTTCTGGCTAAAATACGAAAAATCACACTTTTAACTCAAACTACTAAAAGGAAACTACGTTGTTAGGCTGTGAATATTTTACAATTTGCAGCGTGCTTCTCGGTCTCAAATTCCGGATCTCCATACAGTACTTAGGCCCCGTCCACAATATGCCGGATAAATTTGAATCCGAATTTTTATTTATTCGGTTCCATTTCGAAAATTCGTTTTCGCTGAAGAATTGTTCCGGATTCGCCCGGACTTGTGTGGACGGCAGGCCTAACCGAATAAATAAAAATTCGTATTCAAATTATCCGGCATAGTGTGGACGGGGCCTTAGTGCGTGGTTAGACCTAACCTGTACGTGTCCAGATAATCCAGTATTTCCAGATAACAGCAGTATTAGGTTCATTTATCATTTAGCTCATATGAAAGATAAAGTGGTTAAAGTGTTTTCCTTCTTGTGAAGTTTGCACGATGACGAGACCTAGCTGTGCATGCAGATCCAGTTTACATTAAAACCTAACATTCACAATTTCCCTTTCAAGAACGAACGACACTGTTGTCTCTTTCTTAGAAAGTTAATATCCATGATGTTTTGGCATTATTTTTGAAGCGGTTGATTATTCAAACTGTATGAGTTCTTCTCCGTCGTCGCATTTTAAATTTAAAAGCTAAGATTCTCCATAATAAATCGATAAACTCTAGAACTGTCAGAATACTCGCGCCGAGGAACAGTCCAACTTGACCACCAATGTCACCTGTAAGGATAATTCAGTAGATTTACTGTAAGTACATGGACAAATCAGATGACAATGATGGGCGAATGATAACTGACATCAACAGGAGTAGCGATGATTGCATTGGCAGCGGCGGTAGTAATGGCGTATATTGTTATAAACAGCAAGGATGATAAATGCTACCTCGCCCGTGCCCTTAAAGTATTTGAGTAGAATGTGCTGCCTTTGTTTTAAAACTGACCCTCTTCACATTGTTCTTGGTAGAGCTTAGCCTCTGATGAACACGCATAATGGCGGTCCAGTCGCATCCACAGAGGGCCACAAGTTTATCAGTTGTGCTCACGGTTACGTGTCACATCCTGTGTAGTAATAAATCAAGTTGCTTTGCTTAACTTGATTTTAGCTTTACTTACCGAATAAACTTTCCTGATCATAAGCTTGTCTCTGTTGGATAAGCGTCACCTGCATCTCTTCAAAGTAAACATCAAGCTCTAGAAAGTTGTCTCTGCAAAGCAATGAATTGAGCATATCTTAATAGGGACAATTCTGATAATGAAAAGTGGTTACTAGATTGGGACTGCGCGGGTGTGTTGAACACAAGTGAATAAGAAGGAAACTTAAACACCGTGTAAAAAAGTTATGACTGTACTAACGTTTCGGACGTTACTCGTCCTTTTGAGTAAAAGAGGGACAATTATGATGTGCGAATGGCATCTATTGTCGACTGTTTATTTCCTGCATTTTAAAAGTGGTTAACTCCTATAATTCGGCTAATATTGCAACATGTATACCCATTTCAGATCATCCGCTTTAGTTTTATTTCTTTATTGACTGGGAACGCTTGGAAGATTCATTAATGTGTATGTTGCTCAAAGAGCTTTATTCTTAATAGAAATGTCATTGAATTTAGATCTCAAATAGGAATTTCGCTCAGAGAAGCCAGTTATCCAGTGACTGATTTTTGACCAGTTATCCATTGTTAAATGAAACACAACATTCACAGTTATTACTCTTATAATGAAACACCTCTGGGAAAAGAAAATTGGATCTAAGAACAAATGAATGGCAAAACGTTTTCAGTGGCCGATTCCTTGACCATGTATCCAGTGTTAAAAAATTGTAGATTCGACAGTAAGAACTCAGGAACTGAAAACGTTACAGCTCAGCAAAGTCTTGCCATTGAGGAACCCGTGAGTGTGCAAGAGTGTGGCCTTAAAACATCTTTACCTCAGGTAGTGTCTCATAATATCTCTTCGCACGTGCTTCCGTCGCGCCAAAACTTCAGAAAAGTGTTTAGCAGGTGTCTGTGCGTAGGATAGTTGAAGCTGGTACTTGGTGATCTCACAGGGTACAGGACATTCACAGTTATTACTCTCATTATGAAACGCCTCTGGGAAAAGAAAAGTGGATGGCAGAACAAATGAATGGCAAATTTCTTGAGTGACCGATTTTAGAAACACATCCTCCCCTGCAAATACCGGGCAGATGAGACACCGCATGATTGAGCAGAGATGTATTATTTTACTTCTGATGTAATATGCATGTTTTTACATTTTATTTTACTTTTGGTTCTCTTGAGTATTATATCTTTCTTCAACTCACCCATTGCTGGCCAAACACAGTCCTTAACTTGTCTTGGCTGGCAAGGTGGAGCTGTTCCTGCAGAGGGAGATATAATTATGATGGTATTTTGAAAAACGGGCTGATCTAATCAAAGTTAACTTATTGGCATTTGATCTTCTCTGGACTGAATCATCTCCCTGGATGCCGCACAACTCATTTTCTACCCAGGAACACCCTGTGACGCTATATAAATCCCAAATCATTACATTACTTTACATGGATCTATTTTTGTCGCATCTTTCGTTTTCTCTGCCTCGTAACCCACCTTTTAGATCGTAAGAGCGGCATTTGCACTGGTTTATAACGTAGTCTGCTCGACACTTCAATAGACAGGCAGATTTGGTGTACTTTGTAAACCCTTCCAGGTGCCTGTCTTCGCAAGCTGTTTTGAACGGGCGAGGCAGGTTGCGCATCTGTTTGATAAATCAGCAGACGCAATCTGAATACATTAGTATTTAAAAAGAATATAAAAGACCTTTTGAACGTGCAATCTACGTTCGGCGATCGCCGTTCTCTCTGACAACCTTTTTTGAAACAAGTGTATGCCAAACATTTGGCTATCTTTCTTACCACTTCTTTTCGAAGACCACAAAACGTATGCGTCCCTGGTTGAATGGCAATTCCAAGTTCATTAATCAAAGGTGGTTCCTCCTGTTCATGTACCATCACTTTAAAACCAGACGAATCTCTAAGAGACCCGTAGTATTGATCTTGTTGCACACTCAGTTGTAGGCGTAGAGCGTAATCAACTCCGGCACGACGAACGTGAAGTAGAGGATGGCCATGTCTTCCTGAAAGTGCATGAATAGTAAAAAAATGATGTATGGAATATACCTTGTTCGTCTTCGTGCTGCAATGTTTTCCCACTAAAGACCACGTCTCATTCCCAAGAGTATGATTTCTTTGTTTAATGCGCATGAGAAGACACATGAATGTTGATACAGCTCAAACGATTCGTATTCTCTAGGGAATGACACGTGGTCTGAAATGGGACTTCCAGCTAACTGGCACTACTTTTCATACTAGCTATTGTAAGACACTGTTACCTATATTTGTTGCTACTGTATCTCTATGTCAGTACTAGCATATATGGCATAGGTGCTATTGCTATGGACATTTATCACACGGCGGCCATGCATGGTTATTCTCATGAGAATATAAACCTTTCTTTAATCCGCATAAATTTATTTTCAAGGTCTTTAATGCGAGGCCACGCGTGGTTGAATCTATAGTCCCCTTGCATTTGAAGTCAAAGCAGCTCAATTTGGAGGACGAAAAAAAAAATAACTTCAATCTCCTGAAAATTCGAAACCTATTGCAAATTGAGCTGCATTCCGACGTGCTGCAAGGCGTCTATTGTTCAAACCAACATGGCTGCCGCGTGAAAAACGCACATTGGTGCGAAAATTTATACGATAGAAGTTTAACCTTCGTGTAATACAAGGCCGAATCTAGGGGGGAGATGTGGTTGGATAGTTACCCCCGTTTGGAGTCGAAAATGATAAGAATAAAAGAAATGGTGAAACCAAAAAGGATACTATGTGGTGCTGTTCTAGGTAGAGTGCATTCTATATATTCTTCGATTGCACGTTACGTCATCGCGGCCATGTTGGCGCCATTTAACAAAAGATTTTTCATTAGCATCCATTGCTAACGGCACCACAATGGCTGCCATGCTTTTGTCTTTTAACTCTCTTGGGAATGCTTGCAACCCCTCAATTCGTGGAAAACTAGTTAGTTCAGTAGACCATAGACCTACAAAACTTTACACTATTTCGTACAATTTCGTTAGTTAACATCTTCACGGATATATCGTAAGCACTCTAATATAACAGCCACACCATTAAAATAGTTCTGGATCCTTGTCACTAAAGGCTCGATTTTCATAGCGTCTTTCTACCTCTAAAATACCTGAATTAAAAGTATAACACAGCCCAAACTCAGTGATAACAGCAGTAAAGTTCTCTGGACCACATGGCTGGGATTTCCACCGACACCTCTTGATCATATGGTCAATCCGATGACCATGAGTGCGAACAAACTCTGCAAAATCAAACGTCTCATCGAAATCAAAGTCCGCTTGATTGTCGAGCATATCATCAGTCACTACAGTACCAGGCTTTTTGCTTTCTCGTCGTTTTCGAATGTAGTTCATAAAGTTCGGGATCGGTGACCGTGCAAAGAGAACCTCTTCTTTGTCGTCAATGTATTTTTGTGGTGCCAGAATTGACATGACCTAGAAGATCGAAAATAGTTTCGTTAGATTCAGTTGATCTGAGATAGTGAAGCATAAATGACGTTACTGCAAAACTGAGGTTTTTGAAGCCTGCGAAAATTGAGCAGCCAAAAATAAAAACGCCCGCCAATCCAAAATTTCAAGAGGAAAAGTGACACCTCAGTTTTGCAAGTTTTATCGATTTTGATTGGTTAACATTCTATCTCAGATCGCGGCTGGATGTGAATCAATAGATTAAGTTGTAGACGTTATTGCTGGACCATATTGGAGAATACAACTGAAAAAAATTCACTATGAGAGAATAGGCCGTGGGATGGATTTTACTAACACTAGCAGCCAAAATGTGCTTCACGAATTTTCTTTTTCCTTCAAAGTTTAATTTACTCATATGAAGAATAATTATTGAGATTTTTTTTCTTTTTTCAATTCTACAACAAAAACATGTTTTTTAAACTGTTTCTTTTCTTTTCTTTTTTTTTTTTGTTTTTTTGTTTTTTGTTTTTTTGTTGTCAATTCTAAAACAAAGCATTCTCCAATGACCTAACAGGTGTTAGAGCGTTTTTCCAAAAAATTATCACAGGCTTGTGCAGGAATAACTTGTGCAAGAAATTACAGAGGAATCAAAAAAAGGTACTTTATTACAAAGTCACTTGCCTTTTCTCCAATTGTCCCATTTATCAAGTAGTAAGGAAACAGGTTAAAATTACAGATAGTGACAGCAGGGAACGTAATCTCGTCCAGGAACTCTACCTGGACACTGGTGGTGATGGGATGGTCTAAGTACTTCTGGATGCTCTTCTTACTTTGATACGTTACCATGCCAATAGCACATAACAGAATAATGATCCATATAATGCGACGAAATATTGGCCCATCTGATTCAAAAATAAAACGAAAGCCATGTAAAGTTAAACTGCGTAGAAAATCTTGCCACATTTGAAAGACTGTTTGATTCTCGATGTCATCGTCGTTGTCGCTTTCTTCAGCATCGTCATCCTTCTTCTTGGCGGCGTCCTTCGATGCACTAGAACTCGACATGTTCAAATAAAATAACTCGAGCAAGAAAATACAAGATACCCTTGATGCCAATCCGAAAGACGAGGATTCAATAATGAAGATGAATAGGAATCTGATCAAAATTCTCTCGTTTGAGTCAAGTTGAGCAAGGTAAAGCACATTAGCTATAGACATCATGAAATCTTCTTCCCCTGACCAGCATCGGAGTTGAATGGTTAAACTTTCTCATCAGTATACCAAATCAAAACAAGCTGAAAGTTTTCGTCTACAGGAATAAATTATCTATATTGCTACGAGTATACACTGTACTGACTGGTTGATGGTGTTCACTGAAATCCGCGGTGCCCTCAGTATCTTAATACATTGATACCCGCTACAAGCATGAACTTAAATAGTCGTGCACACGCCTTAAAACCTAAAGAAACATCAAAACATTAAATAAAAACAGTGTCCCTTATGCTTCCAAAATTGTTTTCGTTCCATAGTTTTCTGGATTTAAGTGTTATGTCGACAGTCACACTGGGAAACTCAACATGTTTATCCAAGCATCAAATATACAAGCAAGGTTTCCCGGGATACCTCGTGTCTGATTGGCTCGTCAAACCAAGCGAGTGTAGCTTTTTATTTGGTCTAGTCAATTTGTATTTATTTGTGATGTAATCTTGAGCGTAAATACTGGTACCTGTAGGGAACTCGGTTCGACTTTACCCGAGGGTCATAATCTGAGATGAAGGGGGAAAAAAAAGACCGAAACTTCTCCAGCCAAATAGTTGTATATATATTCAATATATATTATATATTTCAATATTTCAATAGGGTAATAGGATATAGGCAAAAAGCGATAGGAGATAGGTCATTCCAAGATCCAAGAATAGCTAGCTGGAATGACTTCAGTTGTATTGCTGCTTCTTATTCTCGTCAAGAAGATGGACCTTAGTGTTGAAATTGTAGCCTCCTCCGCAGAAGTCTCTTTGCTCTTTTCTCTCTTTTCCTATACTGGGCTTCCTGTGTTGGCCTAGCGAGTAGCCTGCAGAGGAGGTTGAAACTGATTCAATGTTCTTTTTATTTAATGAAACCATTTCCATGTCGGAATGACCTATCACCTATCGCCTTTGGCGCCAGATGACAACGTTTTTTTTTTTTAAATTAAGTGTATATAGTTAGCTTCGCTACACGCTAAACAAGAGAAATAGCATTCCCAACTCGGTGCAGTCAGTATACATGAGTAGAGTTGCTTCTTCTTTCTTGCCTGTGTTTCGAGTGTTTTTCGTCTCCGCGTGTTCGATTCACGTCTCCGATTTTCCTTCCTCGGCTGCAATATTCAACAGTCTAACAGTTCCATTTAAATTTATAAAAGGCCACATGCACTGTGGAAATGCTAAAATGTTAAATCCTATTTGATTGTTTAGATTTGTGGTTATATTTTTCTCAAAAAATTTTTTTAGGGGTGGGAGGGGAGGGGGGTTGGTTGTTTTTGTTAGTGTTGTTCAGTTTGTATTTCTTTTGAATTTGTCGTTATAGGTTGATCGATTCGTTTAATGCCGTGGTAATGCAGTCATGGTCCTTTTATTGTTTACCTCACTCGTACCACCTTAAACCGGCCGTCAGCAACGAATTTAGTATGAGAAATAGCATTTCATTGCTTAAAGTCTTGATGTAGAACTTTTTTACAAAATAAGAATCAAGAATCACGTTTGTTGGACGGTGTAAAACTTTCTTACCAAAGACAATTATTCTTTTATATCGACCACGTGGAAATGTTTTCGATTCTTTTTCAATCATTCTGAAGGATCGATTGTGCAGACAAAGTTTTGGGAAATGCATTCCATATCGTTACCGATGACCTTTCGCTGTTTACCCATAGTGCATTTCGGGCTTGGTATGAACCATGCAACATGCGAAAACAAGTCTCTAGGATCTAGAAATACATTCAAAGATCTCCAGTGTAAACTTCTTTTCATTCTTTACTCTAGACACTTTCTCATTCTTCGTGCAAGTACTTTTAGTTTAGGAAAATCTTTTAATACAACTTCAGCTTTACAACTCAACACTGAATACTTTAGCTCTAGATCTCTGAGCAACCTCTGAGAAATAGAAGCCATTTGTTTAAGTTTCCATGCGTCGGACACTTGGTTATCTTGCGTGGTATCCAACTTTAGCCTCAACAGGATTGAATCTCGGGCTGCACGCAGGCCGTGATTTTCTTCAAGATGTATTGGGCTCAATCGTAGCGTGACAGTAGAAATGTGCCCTTTTGACCTCATCTCTTACTCCAGAGTGTAATTTTATCCAATGAAGCCAATGGACAACGCTGTCCTTTGTTAGATTTCACCAACAGATGACGTGTCTTCGATGACCTCCTTGTCATTCTATCTACTAGACAAACTCGTCAATAATCAACAGTGAATGGGCATTCACAATAGACCTATCACCATAAACGACTAGGTCAGTTAGCGTTTCATAGACTTTCAAGACTTTCCTTTTAACTCATACTTATTAAAAATATAATTGATGATTTGAATATTTTAACATTAAAAAATTCTACAATTGATATATAAAAGTTCAAAATAGAGAGAGAGATTGAATAGATTTTAGGTTCGGACTGAGGCTCATTGTGCTATTATTGTAAGAGCTAATATCGCATTGCAACCGAATTACAGCCAATATTCCATTGAAAAAGAAGGAATTTTCAGTGCAACGATTCGGCCATTGTGCGTGCGACCATTTTCACAAAACATACTATAGACCAAAGTCCTTGAAGAACATGAGAGCAAAAGCTGGACTAGAGTATAATGCAGTCCTTTTCCTGACACATAGCTCTTGTCTAGCCTATCGTCTGAATGCACTACATTCACTTTCACGCAATACAATGGTGACCATATCATATTGCACTTCTTGAATAACATCTCCTACCCTAAAGACTATTAAGAGCTGTCTGGCCGCGCCTCGGAGCTACCACCGTACACTGCAAACGAAGTAAAGTTGGATCTTGCTTCGAGAGGCGGTCGGCAATTTGGTCCAGTATCTTGGTGAGTAGTGCGTAAGCATTTCCACCAGTTTGGACCTCTGACGAGGCAATCCCTAGCATGATGGCTTTCCGTACAAGCATTTTTCTTTTAGGATTTCTATTCGTGGCTGTCGTTGCACAAGGTAAGGACTCGCACTTCTTCACCTTCGCATTCCATTTGTATTCCATTGAAAATCGACCTCAAACTTTACATATGTATTAGCAGAAATCACAAATCACTGTACCACACACACGACTTAAAAACGAGCGTGACTTTTAATGTTTAAAGCATAGAGACGCGAAAATAGCGAGCTAAATAGCGAGCAAAATAGCGGTAGAACCGCATCAGAGAATCTCAAGAGGTCAGCGAAGAATCTACCCATAACGCGATTCTTTCCTCCTCACTTGCTTCTACTAATTACAACGGCAGCATGAACTTGGTTCTTGCTTCCACCCTATTTGACTTGAATGGGTTGTGTTAAATGCAGCTATTGCAGTCACATTCAAAATTCGATGGTGCCGACTCGTGCAAAGGCTTCATTGATGATAGGATCAGCTTTCATCTTTTCAGGTCGAATTGTTTCGGGTTTCTTCTCCAATACCTTCACATGTTCTCGTCGTCTAGAGCTTTCTCCACTAAATACATTAACTATTGAGACCCAGAAGTTTTCTTTACCCTCTGCACAACTTACAATGGCTACAGAGATGGCAACTGCATGTAAACTTCTTTTAATATTTGTGGTACAAAGCCCTAAACATTTGCATCTACCCAAATTCCTCCAAAGAATTCCAAATTCGTAAACTTTGATAAAAATATATGATTATTGGGTAGAATCTGCTATTTATTCCTTATTTTGTTTACAATTGCTTCCAATCTAGAGAGAAAAATGCTACAAAGGTCTATTACTTAAGCACTAACAACGGTCTTTTGTTCGGGTCAACTGATTATCAATCATTAACTCGCATCAGGACGGATATTTCTATCCAAAGAATTACCATTCACGCGATCAAATACTGGCAAATCTACTGAATTATGAATCATAGGTGAAAATAATTGATAAAAATATGGAGCCAAAATTAAAACCTTTGCGCTACATAAAATATTTTAAAAGAACACGCGATATGGAAAAGTTTCTCGAAGCTTACTAGACGACTTCAAAAAAATCTCTTTGTATGCAGTTTTGAGATATTTTTTATTTTACAATTTTTTGGGATGAATCTAGAGAAAAAGTTGAAATACTTTATATACAAAAGAGGATTGTATCAGCCTAGTTGTGAAGCTTTACACGGGGTGTACAGCCAGTCTTATTCAGTCTGGACGTAATGTGATACCACTGAAAATCCTTGTGAGAAATTATYAGTTAAAAAACTAGTCAAATCACCCAATAATTCAATTTAATTAAAATCATTGAGCTCCAAAAATATCTGTTTTTTGATTCGTATGTATTATCTTATATGAGATGCTGTTTTTGCAAATAGGAATTTTGGATATAGACGCGAGTATTGGATTTCAAGATGGCCGACTGAAATACTGTGTGTTGCGTGATAGAGTTCATTGATAATACTTATAATGGCGCGGCTAGTACTAAAAATTATTTTTTGAACACAAATTTWAAAAAAATGAAAAATAAAAAAGGTCAAACATTTCTGTAATTTCTGTGCATGTTGTGCAAAAGTAACACCATTGATTCATTTGTCTTATATATGTTTATTCCAAAAAAATATTTTTCTGAAAGTTGTTGCTTCCAATACTATTTTAAAGGAAACATTTCGTATCGAAAACTCTTCGTTACTCGAAACGTCACATACTTTTACCGTCTTGTTGCGCATGCGTTGAGCAATATAGGGCACCGAGCATGACCAACATCACGCTATTTTACGATGTAGACATCATTTTCTACATTGATTGAGAAATAGGTCTTTGACGCTCCATTATATCGATTCGTCTTGGCTGTTGAAGTATCGAGCTATTTTTAACTTTTATTCCAAAAATACCGAACCGTGTCCCCACTTTCTTCGATCCACCTTGCTGCCGCGCTAGCTCTAACGTGGATGGGTGACAAAAACATACAAAGAAAAGATCGGATCCCCGTCCCAGACCGCACGTGTTTGTATCATTGACTTTTCACAAATAAAGTGACATTTACGGCGCATGCGTGAGAGTCTGGGAACATGGCTATTGAAGTTTGTTCAGTTACTGAAGCTAAAGTGGCTTCCAGTCTTTTCTTCGCTGGAAAAAAAGAATTGAAAAACGATTGGATCATGACTCGAAAAAGGTAAGGAGTGTTCCATACGACTAGAAATTATTCGTTAATGGGCATTGCTTGCTGCTTAAAAGCTTTTTACTGTAAACGACTGTTTTAAACATCTAGGCTGTGCAAAGTTGTAATTGTAGCTGTTTACTTAACTCATCTCAGTCAATTCTAATGCTCAATCCTTATTCACTTTCTAAATATAACCAAGAAAAAATGAACTAAGAGAAGGAATCTCTGGTATTTATGCTTGTAATCATCATAGGCCTCTTTTTGATGCTAATTTTAGAATCGGATCTGCCATCGTTTGTTTTTCTGCGCGCGCTCTAAATTCTAGAAATAGCATCAAAGAGTGCTCATGATGGGGATTCCATCTCTTAGTTCATTTTCTCTTGATATAACTCTTTCATGCATGTGACTTCAATCATTGTTTACTGACTTAATTTACTACGATAACGTTTGGAATATAGTCTTGATTACCTCCAGTATTATCCTAGCTTTTCTTTCTGCATGTTTAAGCAGTTAACGCCTGTATTAGTTGAATTATATTGAATTATTTGGTTGTGTATCACGTTATCTGGGCCGTCATCTGTCGGTATTCAGTAAAAAATTACAGCCTGGTCGAAAATGAAGTTTTTTTTTGTCTTGTGCAATGAAGTTAAGTTTATTTTATTTCAGTTCTCACAGTTTTTTTTCGAGAGTTGTCAAACAAGTGTGAGAATTCAATGCTAACTACGTCCTTTTGTATCTTATTCTAATATTCGTCAATAATTAATTCAAAGTTCAGTATTAATTTTTATGTGTCCATGGCATTGAGTATTTGGTGTTTTTGTGCAAATCTATAGGCCTTGTTGTGTGTATTTGATAAAATATTTACCTGAAACATAGAGGACTTTTTGTGTCCATGGCAACATGTTGTTTGTGTCCATAACATGTTCTTGTTTGTGTCCATGACAACATGTTCTTGTTTGTGTCTATGGCAACATGTTCTTGTTTGTGTCCATGACAACCTATCTTGGTTTGTGTCCATGGCAACATTTTGTTTGTATCTATGACAACATGTTCTTGTTTGTGTCCATGACAACATGTTCTTGTTTGTATCTATGACAACATGTTCTTGTTTGTGTCCTAGCAACATGTTGTTTGTGTCCATGACAACCTATCTTTGTTTGTGTCCATGGCAACATTTTGTTTGCATCTATGACAACATGTTCTTGTTTGTGTTTATGGCAACATGTTCTTGTTTGTGTCCATGACAACCTAATTTTGTTTGTGTCCATGACAACCTGTCTTTATTTGTGTCTATGACAACATGTTCTAGTTTGTGTCCATGACAACATGTTCTTGTTTGTGCCAAGGAAATGCCTTGTTTGTGTCCATGATAGCATGTTCGTGTTTTTATCCATGACAACATGTTCTTGTTTGTGTCCATGACAACATGTTCTTGTTTGTGTCCATGATAACATGTTCTTTCTTGTATCTATGGCAACATGTTCTAGTTTGTGTCCATGACAACATGTTTTTGCTTGTATCTATGGCAACATGTTCTTGTTTGTGTCCATGGCAACATGTTTTTGCTTGTGTCCATGGAAATGCCTTGTTTGTATCTATGGTAACGAATTTTTGCTATCTTTCAAAATCTTTCATAGTTCTTGTTTACCTTGATATTATTTTAGGTGTTTGTATTGTATTACTAGTTATTTATTTTGCTCTTTCGATTTTTCCTTTATTTCGTGTTAATTGTCCAAGAAAATATTAATTTTTAATGTTCTTCAAACCAAGATAAAGTAGCCATTTTCCCAGGCTTCCCACATTGTTTTGAAAATTAAAAATGACTTAGTACAAGAATTCACGTGACAGAAACTGATTGGCAGTTGACTGACAGATGACATGGTCCAAATATCGTGTGTGTGTGTCAAAACAAGGTAGCCTAAGTTTCATCAAGTGAGTGTTAAGGCATATATTTGTACCTAGCTTGGGCATATCCAAGGTTTTCCCATTTCAGAGCAGTTGTCATTCTCTTGAGAATAAGATTCTTTGATTGAGTTTCATCCAAATTCATGTCTCTTCTCATGTGCAACCATTAAACGAAGAAATGATACTCTAGGGAATGGCACGTGGTCTGAAATTGGAAAACATTACACCCAAGCTAAAAGGACTTATTGTTCAAAATTGGTGAAGATAAATACACTGCAACCTCGTTTTGATGCAAAGGCTTGTTTACCTTGTTTAATTTAAGCGGGATAATAAATTGTTACGTCATTGTATGAGTACGTTGTCAGGTGGTTTCTCTCGTGAGTGATATCAAGCCGTGTTGGTTTCTTGTGCTGGAAAAGCAAACTTGGCAGCCATGTCTATTTCTTGTTTCTTTTTTATGAGTTGGAATGATCGTAAGCTAACCATTTTCAGTCTTGTCGATTGATTTTGAAGTTCATAATCAAATTCAAATCGCTTTTGTCTTTTGCTTCATAGTTCCTTGTCGCCAGGTCAAACCAGCAGAATGTAAGAACATGGTTCAGAGCGAGTGCACCGTTAGTGCCGACTGCCCTGGTCGAGCCATCTGTTGTTATGATGGCTGTAGGTCTAAATGCGTCCCTATTACACGTGAGTGATCAGTTCCCACCTCCTGCCGATCAAATGGAGCTAAGAAGTCCTGGGTACCAAAATGGAAATCAAATAGGCTAGATAATTGGGACCATCTTCAGCAACTGGAAATGGCGGGAAATGATACATGTCTATACTCGATGCGTAAAATAAATTTCTTTCAGCAATATAGAGTGCGGGAGGTCGTGGTTCGAGTCCCTGCTGGACCAACACTCATAATCTTAAAATAACGAAGGAGAAGGTGCGGCCTTTGTTATTACATCTGCAAATGGTTAGAACTTCACGTGGCTCAAATGGCCACTCAAATGGCGGTCCCGTCCCTAGTCAACTAGAATGTAGTTATTGTTAACTGTATGTAGTTATTGTTTTTATACTTTTTTTAACTGTTCTCGAATACCTGTTTTTCCTCTTGTCACGATGAATGCTCATTCATGCGTGACTCACATGGCGTGACCTATTGTTATGTCACGCATTGGGTTTATTGGTTATACAACTTGAATGTAACGACAAAACCGACGGGTATCAATATGCATACCAGGCATTATAAATAAATTTGACGCCGACAGGCTTGAAGTTGTGTATTGTATTGAAAAAAAAAAGTTTATTAATTAGTTGATTTTTCAAATTATGTTTGTTCCCTTTTTACTGTGAACAAAGGCTTTCCTATTTCTAACTCGTGGGGACAGGGGTTACTTAATGTCCATTCACTCGAGTGTTACTGGCAAAGAAAGAAATATTCTCAAGGGAATGGCACCTGTCTTAAAATAGGGAAACGCTGGTCATACATTTTGGTATTTGATAGACATTACAAACGAAGCAAACATACCATATATATATATATATATGCATCCACATTTAGAATTTGCTGGAATGATATATCTAAATATATCTGTAGAACCACTCGTCGAAGCTTGTTAGATAGTGTATACTCATTACTGCGGTTTTCTATATTCCGTAAACTCAGACATTTTAACGGCTTTTGGTGAAATTGTTTTTTCACTGCCGCCAGTCAACAACATAAAAGGTACCGACTGAATATTTTTGATTAACGGACGGTAGCGAAAAATACAAATTTCATCAAGCAGCTCGCAACAATCAAGCTTAC